GTGAAATTAAATGTTTTTCTTTTTAAATTATGAACATGACATAGACTAGCAAATCTTGTTCTTCACTGTTAGGATTCAAATATAAATCTCAGGTACTGCATCCTCATGAATCCAATATTCTATGCTTCCTTTCATTTTCTGTTGCTCTGACTTTTATTTTTATGTATGAAGTGACTGTACATGTAAATAAGTTAATAAACATTATTATAGATATGAAACACTAGATCAATGATTCTTCTCTACTGGGTACTTATTTCACCTCTCAAAGAAGTCAGAAACTCTTTAAAAGTAAGGACAATGTTGACTTTACTTTTAACTCCTCATACAAAATTGCTTAACCAAGTGTTATCTGTTTGATAACTGACTACAGCAAAGCTATAATTATCTCTATTATTTGATAATACTCAAAGAATTATTAATACATAAAAAATCTAGTTATCATAGTTAAGTCTCATTAACCAAGTCTAATAGAATTAAATATATTTAGGAATTTATTAAAATTGATATACAATACTTTTTTTGAAGTTTGTTTTGAATTATTAGTCATATACATTATAAAATAAACCAATTCTTCAAATACCAGTAGAAAGGAGACTGCTTCAAAAGTTTTCTTCGTGGAAGAATGGTGTATTACTTAGAAGAGTGTTTAATTAGATCCTTTTCTAAAAACTTATCAAATTTCAAGATATATGTATTTATGAAACATTTTCTAAAATGAGTTGCACAAGAATTATTGTATTGCACAATACAGAATGCATAGCTCTCTGAAAAATATTCCTATCAAGACAAAAATAACTCATTAAATTTCCATCAGATAAAAAGTCTTATGTTTGCCTAAGTAGTCTTAAAATTTTCCCTTTACTCTAAAATTAATTGATAATTTTACTTTAAGAATAATAATAATTTTACTTTAAATTTGGAGATGTGTTGAAACACATTTTAATATTAAATGACTGAATGCATGTTTTCAATTTATGAGATTTAACAATACATGAATATTTGAGTAGTTTCTATTTCAAAAATGTTACTGTGTAATATCTCATATTAATGGTGAACACTTTATTCTATATTCTTTCCCATTTCTTGTCCATAGGAAAATATATATGCCTTACAGAAAATTTATTATTGATTATTTCCCCCCTTTTTATTGTTTATTGGTATATTTCAGGTATACAATACAGTTACATTCATCATTGGGATCTTGTACCTTTACATGACAGGTCTTGGTTCTTATTTTTCCTCATTCCCCAGCCCTCCTTTCAGCTGCTCCACCCTTCCCTGGTTATTTTCCTCTTTAAGAATGCATTATCAGACCAGGATTAGTGAAGCATACTTGTAATCCCAGCATTTGGGAGGCTGAGAGGCGATGTTTGCTGTGAGTTTGAGACCAGCGTGGGCTACATACATGTAGTGAGCTCAAGGCCAGCCTGAACCACAAAGAGAGACTCTGTCTCAAATATCCAAAGAATAAAAGAATACACAACTGGGCCGGGAATTCAGCTTAGTGGTACTGCACTTTACTTGCAAGCACAAGGTCCTGAGTTTGATCCCTGGTACTAAAAATAAAAAATAAAATAAACAAAAAAAACAAAGCATTTCTCCCTATTACAACATAATTATTTTTATTAACCAAGCATTAAATATTAGAAAAGTGCAATCCTAATAATTATTACAAATAATTTAAGGTAGTATGCAATGATGTATGAAATAACTGGTTTTGAAGAATTTAACTGTGGAAAGACTTTATATCAAAACTGGCTAAGGACAAAGGAATGTATATTGTAAGAAATGGAAAGATGTGTAACTATTAAGTGTGTGTGACAGGCTCACAGGAGTCAAGATAGGGAAACTTACTTCCTAGGTGAAGGACTGCAAAGTGTATTTTGTATCAGCCTTGTTAGTGATTATTCTTATCACCACCAGTAGTATTTTTGAGTGAGAAACAGGCTTGACATAATAATACCACTACAAAAATGTTCACAAAAGGTCCTAACTCTGAGCTTTACTAGATCTCGAGAGCAATGTCATCCAATGACATATATTTTTCTTCTATGCTATTCCTACATTATAATGAACACAATTTTATATTTAAACATGAACTGCTTTCAACTGGAACCTTGGCCACTAGATATTGGCATGAATGTTATAAGTGAAAGACTATTAGATTTCCACATATTATTAAAAATAGAAATCCTAAGATTTTATCTCTAGGATATAAATGCAAAGCAATATTAATTTTGTCACGTGTTCCAAGAACGCTGAGTTCTCTGCCGGTCGCCTCAGAGTGATAGTCACGTAAGTAGTCTATTGTGTATCAGACCGCCCAATTTAGTCCCTTCACAACAGGTCACCCAAATCAAAATGCAGCGAAAGACTTCCTCTAACGTGGAATCAAATTTTATTTTCTACCTAATCTGACATTTACTTAATCTGGTAAGTACACAAGTACACGGCAATACTTTTGGATCCCATAGGCAAGATACCTTGGCTTATCTAGTTCCTATTAGGTGAATTATTCAGAACGAAAACCTCACAACGCTATAGTCCCCGTTGTGTTTTCCTGAGATGAGTTGTTTATCTGAATTACAGCGCCACTCATGAAAACGGTGATAAAAATGTTTTGATAATTTTTTCATGGATTAATTCCATTTAAATACACTTTTACAAGGCCTAACGCATATTTTTAGAAGTGACCAAAGCCCATCTGTTCTAGTATTAATGTACCAAGATAATCCTGAAAATGTTTCACTAAAAGAGTTTGTACTTTGTCATATTGAGAGGCAATCATTAAAACACACCCTTGGGCTGATTATTATGCATTTTAGAGGAAGAAATAGTCAATTATAGGTTAAAATTTAGGATTTGATAGGGCCAAAACAAAAATTTAACACTGTAAAAATTACCCTTCATCAGCACCAACGCTGTTTGCCATTATACAGACCAAGAATTGATTTTGTTCTTCAACTTTTAGCTGGTTGATCTGTTGTCCTCCGGTACAACCATTCATTTAAAGATAAGATACGGTTAGGATTAGAGAGAGAGAGAGAGAGAGAGAGAGAGAGAGAGAGAGAGAGAGAGAGAGAAGAAAGAGAAAGGAGATGGAGACAAAGGAAAAAAACTTCTACCAAAACAACATAGTTTATTTTATGAAATAGTATATTAGGTGAGTAAGATCAATAAAACAAAACGCCCATATAGAATGTGACCAAAAGAGATCTTTAAATAAATACATATGACTAATTTGATATTTTATTCTTTTAAAAACACTGTAACCACAATAGGCATTTAATTTTAAATTTTCCATCTGCAAACTGGTCAGTACTCAGGATTTCAAACTGGAGAAATTCAGAAAAATATGAGAAGAGTAAGAATAAAATTTGTACTAGGAATGATGTAGTTCAACTTAAAAAATTAAAGATATTGAAACCCTCATATCAAAAGGGCTCATAATACATCAATAACATGATTAAGATATTTAAAAGTAATTGTGAACACATCATTAAATATCTTCTAATATACAGAGTTTTCATTGATGAGAAGACATTCATCTCTGCCCTCTGAAATTAAAAGATCACCTGAAACAATGTATGAGTAGACACTGTGGGGAAACTAATGCATACTTGAGTAATACTACAGAAATATTTTATATTTAAATTGCTACAGTTTATCTATTATATAATATACCACACTCCAAATTTCAAAATAGCCAATAAGTACAAACATACATCCCAAAGATGTATAAATTGAGCTGACAAAAATTATTGTAAGTTTATAAGCATAAACATAGTATTATGAGTACAAAAAAGTTAGATTAACAAAAACATTGCAGAAGGAAAATAATATGATTTTCAAAGTGGCTAAATAAATATATAATATTAAAAGCAGTTATAAAACAAAGTATAATTCAAATTCTTTTTTGGGGGGCATACTAGGAATCAAACTGAGGACCTCGCATATGAGGTAGGTGGCAGCACCACTGAGCTAAATCCCTGGCCCTCAAATTCAGTTTAAAAAGTATTTTAGAATAGGGAATGGTAGAGTAAAGTATCTCTATCCAAATCAAATGATAAGTTATACTCTCTGAGTTTGTAGGAATGAGAACAATGAAAACTAAAAAGTCAAATCTCTTATGCCTGAGATATGTTTTTTTGTAAATCCTATTAACTAAAATATCACAGACGCACAAGTTTATTAAATTATATAGCAATTTTACTTCTTAAATAGTTACAATTCTGTAACAAATTTATGGTTATAGAATAGTAAATTTATCTTTTGTAAATTGCCTATTACATGAAACAACGTGCCTACCTCAGTCTAAATGAAAAGGTATTAGGCAAATAATAATTTTCTGTACTTTTCTCCAAAATCTAGAACCTTTACTTTGGTTTTATAATTCTTCTGAGAACAGTAAGCATTAAGAACCCTTTGTCACTTTCTGAAATCAATACACATTTTTCCAAATTAAAAAATCCAGCACATTGCATTCAAGAAAATGTTCCGAATTACTGTAGAAAGAAAAAGAAAGAAAAGTACAAGACTACAAAATAATAGGAAGCCATCATTCCCCAAAGCCAGTCCATACAAATATTCTGGAAGAGAATATAAACCTGTTTCTAAGTTCATGATGGACCTCGAGCAACTTTATACCATCATAAAAAAGAAAAGTAGAAGGAAGAAAAAATTGGCTGGGGAACTAACTCTTTTTAATGAAGGCCTCACCACTGTCACCTTTCATCATCCTAAAAGACCAAAGTAGAAAGTACATTCCTCCCTAATGTGACTGATTTCATTTCTCACTTGGTTTCACACCTCACATTCTTCCTTTGCTGTTTCTTGCCACATACTCTAAGAAAATTCATAGAGCTCAATGGAACTATCAAAAATTTGGGATCAGAAAAGTCAACAAGCATAGGATAGGGATGGAACAAAGCAAACCACAGCAAAACAAGTGAAAACTATCATATACTTCACGGATTAATGGAGAAAAAGAGATTTCTTACCGAGTACCCCCAGTCGATAGTTGACCGTGATGACAATGACATTGCCATAGCTGGCCAGGACACTACCATCGTATAAATTTCCAGTGCCTTCCATGTACGAGCCGCCATGGATATACACCATCACTGGTTTGGGGCCTCCACTGTCCCGGATATCTAAAAAAACAAATGGTTGACAATTGTTCTTATTATCCTTAAAAAGGCACAGAAGGAAACAACACGTTTTTAATTTCAGAGACAGGAGGATATAATTTTAATATAGGTCTTTCAATTGTTGTTTTTGGTAAAGTGTTTCTTAAGCAATTGCATTGTGAGCTGCTGCAAAAAAGAGCAAAAGGCATCCATTTTTTTCTATCCAAAATTTTGTTTTCAAATTATAAATGGAATTACATATCTTGGACAAATTGAAAGTAAGTGTAAATTTTAGTGTTTAATTCCTGGAGTGACATTAAAGCCAAAATATAATATAATGACAATGACTCTTCAGATTACTTTTTTTAAAAATAGAATTTATGAACCATAATAAGCAAGACAATAATTTCATTGCTGTTGAGAGTAAACTGTTTTCTTTTTTCTTCTCTTCTTGTTCACTGGAAAGCTTTGTATCAAATGCAACATGATTACACTGTCATTTATGCTCCATTTGTGACATGATTATAGAATTGTTTCATTCAGTGTACGAGGGCACATTTAATTGCTTAAGGACTGTCAAAGGACTGGTTAGGCAGTAAAGCCATGTGCATCTGAGCTCCTATTATTGCACTTAGGTGAATTGTACTAAAATGATATTTTTTAGAAGTTCTAGGCTATTCACTCATTCTACTCTACCTTTGGGGAAAGAGAACAACTAAATCACTTTTTTTTCATAGCTGATGTATCCTTTTTTTTTGGTACAGGGGATCAAACTCAGGATGATGTTCTTACAGAGCAAATGGCAGAACCACTGAGATAAATCCTCAGCCAATTCTTAGTCTTCACTTTGACTCTGCTGCTTTTTTTACTTTTAATCATGTAGTGATAGGATAGAGCGAAATTCAAGCATAAAGTGCTAAAATTTAGTGTGATATGGTGATTTCTACAACTTTGAATTTTAGTCAAGTATATTTGCTTTTCTCAGATGAAATTCTTACAATTATAAAGTCCTTCATCTTTTCTAAAATGAAGTTTTAAGCAAAGGCTTAGAAGTGATACATAAAGGAAACAGGATAGTTTTAGTCTGAAAATGCATGGATTTTCTATAGAAAAATTAATCTATTGATCATTTAGTACTTACTATGTAGACAAATATATGTATGCACACACGACTATGAAATTCAACATGAATATTTCCTTAAAATATTATTTTAAATTACCTAAAATATATTCTCTTCTTAATACCAGTATTGAGTGTCCTTTAAAAATACATTAGAAGTACAGTTTTTTTCCTATACTTTTAATTCAGTTTAAATTATTTTTTGTTTAATTGAATTTTCCTACAACTTTCCAATTGAAACACCAACTTTCAGAATGGACTAATGTAATACAAACTTATTGAGAGAACTGGTGATTATTTAGAGACTGCTTTACATTTGTTATTGGTAAAAGAATGACTAATTTAAGTATTTAAATTTTTCTACTATAACAATAAAGTGATTTCTTTAAAGGAAAAGTCAGTTCAGGATTGGAGTTGCAGCTCATGTATTTGGCCCTATTTTTTAATTAGGAAATGGCTCAGGGCAGAACATAAGAGAATTTTGTGAAAAAGACTATTTTAAATTGTCTTAATACTCTTGTATAAACTCATAGCCACACCTCTCTCCCCAAGGGTATATTTGAGAAGAATGTCTTGTTGTTAAGTAGTGAGAGGAGGGTGCTTTGACATAACCATCATCTGCTAGACACAGCTACATTTAACAAGGAAACCTAAATATATTTTCTCTTGTATTCCTCAAGAAAGAAAACGTTGTTCATTTCTATGTAAAGATCTGGGGGCTTGTGCAGAGAATGTAATCCTTTTGAAATTGTTAAACTGTGCACCTTAAATGCCTGTATGATACATACAGTTTTAGCTTCTTATTTTCTAGTATGGTTGGCACTGAAGAAGCAATAATAAATTATTAAACTGAAATCATTAACTGACTGTTCACAGCAGACATTGTAGTCTGCTAATTGTATGCTTGGAGGTAGCACAGAGGGAGGCTGTTTCAGAATTCTTCTTTAATTAAAATTACATAGAATTACAAAGCACCAACTGTGAACAGTAATGAAATCTTGGTAGATCCATCCTGTTCACCTGGAAAACAATACAGACACACATTGAGAAGACCTGCCACATTTTATGTCCACAATGAAGTGGACATTTTCAGGAAACACAGAATCTGCCAAAAGGTTCTAGGAGATATTTTGAGCTGAATTTATTTTTCTTTGCAAATAGGACTTAAAAGTATAGTTTGATGATTCTAATTTCTGATTTTTATTTTCAAACTTTTCAAAGATTTCAGCCTTCCTTACCTAAGAATTTAATATATTAAATATTTTCTAAAAGTTTTATAAAATTCTAATATTTCGTGAGAAATAATTCTTTTGGCTTGAAAGAACACTGAGGTTAATATAGGAAATATTAAGTATTAAGATAAAATTCTTGGACATAACATCACTTAATATTGCTAATGAAGTTTGGGAAACTAGAAACCCTGGAGATTAAGATAATACATGTTTTCATGTTTTTGTAAGAATGATTCATCTTAGACTTTACTTGTTTGCATAATCTGTACACATTTTTGATATTAATAATAATTGTAGAAATATCAAAAATTTACTATTTACTTTATATTTTAAAAAGCTAGATATTTTATAAGTGAAACTAATGTATCAGATAGCTGTCCACTGAATACTATCTTCTACTGTAATTTTAATAATCAGATTTTAGGGGTTCACTGAACTTCTTTGGAAATATATTAAATGTACTTTAATAATTTATACTGAAACTTTTAGAGGCAAATTTTCCTTCTAAACTTTGTCACAGGTAAGTAATATGGTACATATGAGCTATGTAATTAAACTATAATTTCTGCTTTGCTTAAACTGCTGCTATTGACTTTACTAAAATTGTCAAACCATTCTCAAAACTTTAGATAAGTTCCAGTGAAACTACAAATTTTCATCAAGTATGAATATATTTTCTGTTGTTTACAATGTTTTTGAATCTTAGTGTGTGTGGCTCTGAAAGGAGTGGGATTGTGTGGAAGAAATACTGCATTGATGATTATTTTTTCTAAACTTTTAGGAAATTATATTAAATTTATTAAGTTAATAAAATAACAAACTTGGAATTTGAGAAAGCACCTTGATTTTAAGCTTTAATAACTATCTTTCTGATAAACCAGAGTTTCACAATAATGAAGTAAGTGTCAATAGATTTAGAACAGTTAAAGGGAATTTATTTGTGCCTGATAAACACTTATTTGGAACAATTCCCTTTAACGATACTAGTGGGTAATTATGAATTATATAACTCCTTAAATATATTTACTGGATTCTTTCTTCTTAAAAGACTATTGAAATGGTTAATTGCCCATATTTGAGCATTTGAGATTTAACAGTTTTAAACTTGTGGAAGCACTGCCTCAATTAAATCTTTCTCCAGTCTATACAAAAAGGCATTTCAAGAAATTTTTGTGCTTTCCACTCATTTTTATAGACCTTGTTTATCATTCAGAGCCATCAATTAAATATAAAAATATTGGCTGAATTTATGCTTGTTAATGGACACAGCACATAGGCACATTTTTAGTTTTAAAAAACACATAACATTTGCAGAACAGGTTTTACACAACTCAATATAGAATATAAAGTTACATCTGAATATGAAAATGCTAACATTAAGGTATTTTTGGAACAATTTCAACTTTTTTTTAATAAAAATTCCCTACATTCCTAGAATAAATAACTAGAAATCTCAGATGTTGCTTTGAGCCACTTTTATTATTTCAGATTACTCTTATGTAAACTGTAGAAGGAGCCTATAAAATATACAGGTTTTTTTATGATTATGAAACACACAAGGAAATGATTCTATTGCATTTTGGCCTGGAGATGCCAGAAGAGGGATGGATGGCAGGGATACATAAGAATGAGAACTGGGAGTTGTGCACTAAAAGCCTTGCATAGGATATTTGAGTGACGACCAAGGCCTTGACAATGCCATGGGCAGCCTCAAAAGTTAGCGCCTGAGATAGGCACTCAGAAATCAAGGAAGACTTACAGATATCCAAAAATGTTAGACAATTTTACATAACTGGTCAGATAATCTAATTTGTGAGTGAATTAACCACCGTTGCTTATCAAGTAATTTATGTTCTTTATTCCAGTGATGTTGATTCAATATTTGGAACAAACTCAATAAGGAATTTAGACTCTTTTTTTACTCACCCTGAGAACTACAAAATGGTTCTAAAAAAAAAAAAAAAAAAAATTGAAGAAGAGACGCCCAAACCTTTCTAGACTTTTATTTTTTCCTGCAGAATATTTGAATTAATCTGTTCAAAACATTTATCGCATACAAGAACTGGCTGGTTTGACATTCTATGCATTTTAAGCATTTAAAAAATCATTGATTTTATAACTCTTGTGACCATGTGTCTTAGTACTTAACCTGAACACCAGCTGCCATCCTAAATAAGGGTGTATGATATTTTTAATGGCTAATTAAAAATGTTAAATGTGCTTCAAAATAGGTCTATAAAATAGATTCACGATTAGAGGGTTTATCTCACTGTGGTTCCTTGGAGATGTCTCTGTCCAACATGTCAATGTCATAGTTGATACTTTACCAGAAGAAAAAGAAGAAAGAGAAATCACATTAAATCAGCAATGAAAATATTTTTAAAATGGAAAAATGATATATACTAACCTTCTAACTAAATTGTGAAATTTTGGAATTTATAAAGATACATACTGAGAAGTCTTTCATACTTTAAGTATTATCTAGATAAAAGATACATGATTTGGGATTTTCAGAAGTTTCAATACATCCCAAAGCCTGAAAATGGATACACTTTCCTTAGAACACCGGGGAAAATAACAATATCCTACAAAATCAACAAATATTCACAACTTTTGAGTGTGTCAGACTTCCAAGGATTTTTTTTTAAAAGTGGATTTGATATTATAAATTTATTTTTATTTATTTAGCATTTAAAATGATAAGTCAGGCAGCTATTTGTTATTAATATTTATTTCAAATATTAATGAATGCTTTGTGTTTAATCATTAATCCATTGCTAGAGTTCACCCTAACTGAATTTTTAATCAAATATCCCGTTTCATTTAAACAAAATAATTCTAAAATATAAAAATCTCAAACTCAAATAAAATTGTTAAGCCTTCTGTATTTCACCTTAATAATTAAATTTTTGACTACAAGTTTATTAACTATGTAACAGTGAAAATTAGAAGTGAAAACAATAAAAACTGTTGAGGAAAGGGTCATTCAGTCATGGGATTTTTTGTAATTTAGGGAGCAGGCACTTTTGCTGACCTGGCTGGCTGTGGATTGTTTTAGTTTAGAAATTTTTTCTTATGATATCATTAACATTTTTGTGAGACTTTTATTTCTGGGTTGCAGGAAATTACTTTTAAGTCTGGGATTACATTATTTGCCCCTGTAAAAGTTATAATTAGTGCAAAGTTAAAAAAAAAAAAAAGGAAAATGTAAGTGCCGAAAGGAGTAACAATGAGTTTAAAGAATCAATGGGCTTCTCCAGACTCTCAGGTGAGCACCAAATAAAGTATAATTGAGTATGAAATGTCAAATCAATGTGGTGTGTACTTGGGTCTACAAAGTAAATCAGAATTATATGACATTATAAAACATTTTTTATTAATGAAGCGGGAAATATTGCTTCTTACTGGCAATAATAATGAGAATATTCTAATGATGAGAATATTTTATTAATAAATCTAGAAAGTATATCCTTTTGGAATTAAAGAATATTCATTGTGTTTTGTTTTAAAAATATCTAAAATCTTTGCCAAAAATACTGAGTCCAGAGGTTGCAATTGGTTGCCTAAATAGATAGGATGACTTCTTACCGTTATAATTTCATTTCATTTATATGATTATTAAGCAAATCAACAGAAAACGGTATTCTTATAATCTAAAAAGTTGCTCAAGAAACACTTTGTATCAGCTTTTAGTTTTTCTTTCATTTTATTTGGTGTGGGATTCTTTTTAAACAAATGTCAAATGTAAAAATAAAATACATTTTTAATTAGCTATAATATTTACATAGAGTAGAAAACATGCAAAATGGGTAGAGAGACTATAAGGGAGAGATTGTTAGTTCAAAGAATGTGGACAAATTTGTCAGAACGTGGGATGAAACAGATCAAAAGTCAGTTCAAGAAAACAAAAAAAAATGCCCCTCTTTTTAAAACATTTTAATGATTGGCATCAAAATGTAAAACTTAACATTCATTTTTTTAAAAATTAAAAATGTATATTCATATGTAACAACAAGCAAGAAGACAAAACACATCAAAAATGGGAATTAAAAACAACTCTTCAAAAAAAGACAAGAAGTAAAAAAAATAGAAAGGGGTGGAAAAAGTGATTGAAGCCCTTGTCATGCAAATAGATTTGGTGGAAAAAATACCTTCATCTTCAGCACCGTCATTATCACCTAAATCATCTGTCTGTTTCTTTGTAAGGGGACCTAGGATTGAGAATGGAGAAATGGAGGGAAAAAAAAGACAATTCAAGAATAAACAAGACTGAGGGGAAAAAAATAAATGTAAGTACTAAAATTCTCAAGGATATTTCCAAAAAGTGGGGAAATGGATACACCATAGTTGATTATGTATTTTAAGCAAAAAACAAAAAACCAAAACCCAAAAAACCAAAAAAAAAAAAAGTTTCCCCAAAATATCTCATAAACTTGGTTTTTGAACATATCCAGCATAAAAATATATTATGGTTTGAAACTCCAGTCATGAGTAAAGGAAATGATTTTTTAAAAATACCCACTGCATACAAAAAAGTAAACAGTCTTATTAGCAGAAAGAACTTAATATATATTCAGTGTCATTTCTAATTTATATTGGTGACAATAAAGAAAGTAGGTCAAATTCATTCTTTAATTTGGGACAAGATCATAACATTAGAAAAATAGAGACACGAACATTTCAACGATTTTTCCTTTTTTTTTTTTTTTTTTTTTTTTTGGTAAGAACATTAGCACTTCAGTTTTACATACTTTTAATATATATACATTAAAAAAACTGTGACTCTTTAAAATTACTTATCATTATGCAAATATTTTCCCCTCTGTTTTCATTCGAATGTTAGCTGTGGATTGAAGACATTTTCCACTTACACAAATGTATCAACAGATAATTTCATCACTTGGCAGAGAAAAGGTACCATCAATATAAATCAGTGTTTTCCTATTAAGGAAGTTACAGAGTCAGGGCCGATATTTCATAATCAATTTAATAATATAATGGAATTATGCCGTTGTGCAATTTCATGCCTACTGTAGTTATTTATAATAGGATCAGGTTTTAGGAGAATAATTTCATTAAATCACTGTGAATGTTTAATAAATGTTTTATTATACTTAACAATGCTAATTTGCTAGAATAAAGGAGCACACCAAAGGGGAAGTCAGAGGCTATATGAAAGTAATTTTAAGTGTCATATAATTAACATACTCGGTACACAAAAAAGCAAGTGAAGGCCCACATTCTCTTTTTATTTCCACAACCATTTAATTTATATGACATTTCATAATCCTCATGCAAAAAGCAATCATTACAAACACAGGACACTCAAGTTAAAAGACAGCCAACCACATAGCAATAAGTGAGAGAACTTTGTCATGCATAAAATAAAAATCATAGAAAAAGGAGGAAAAAAGGACTGAAAGTCATGTGTTGACTTCAATAACATAAATGGTAAAGAAGCAAGCAGTATCTCTAAGCATTCCTCACTGGATATAATGATAAACACTTTAAGAAAGACCTCTTGGTCTTTTTAGTGAGCACTATGCATTATATTTATAATTCAAAACTAAAACTATCATAACCCTCAAGGAAAGAAAAGCACTATTCTGGAAACAGAAGGAGAAAAATCAGATAAAACACAGTTATGTTTCATCATATTAGGGAGACAGCTCTGCAATGTATCAATAGCTGGAAAAGACCAAAAAATTGGAAAAACGGAAATTTATACTGCAACTGAAGGGAGAATTTCAATTGTAAGGTCATGGTTTCAGAGGTCATTCAAAATACAGACAGACCTGCACATAATAAATTACGTGATATACTTTCAAAATCACACCTGCAAGCAATCATTCCATTGAGAAACCTAGATGAAAGTAATGGTTTATGTTAATTGACAGTTGCAAGCTCACAAATATTTGTATTTCTTTAATAGGACCCTGTTCAAATGCAAACAGCATGCTTGGGATTATTTGATGTTCATGAAATGTCATTACTTCTCCAAAATATTAATATTTTAAATTTAAATTTAAAAACTGTTGAATCAGAGTAATAGAAATATTTCTAATTTTAAAACATCTTCAACATATTAGATTTTTAAATTGTACTTTCAAAGTTTTTAGTTTTCTGTAATTTGCTGAATACTGAAAAAATGTTTTCCCAAGTCTACTTTCCAGCATACTAGATACTGTTTAACTTAGTAGTTAGCAATACAAATTGAGTGCAGTGATATTTATTGTTGTCAAAACCACTGTCTACTGGCTAACTTTAAATTAACTGATGTGCTAAATTTTGGCTACTTAAGAAACAAATAGCATAAACTCAAAGTGTGGATGCAAAATCATCAGTTCACTCATACTATACAGGCGTGTGTAAAACCCATCACAATTAAATTAGTCTTAATTTTGTCCAGGGATCTGATGTAAGAATATTGCTTTCCCTTTCTAAGGTATTCAAGGCCATTTACATTTCTATTGGAAATCATCCAAGTTCTACAGCCACTGAGCCGGTGGTTTTATGTACTTCTTATGCTTAGCAAATTGTTACTTCTGGAGTCTACATGGGTTGCAATAAAATAGGATTTTGTTAAACATGATCTTCTATTTCTTTGCATGAGTGACCTATTTCTCAGTTGCTATTTGCTTGGAGTGGCGCTAAGTAGAAAAATCAAAGAAATGATATGAAATATACAGAGTTTGAGCTTTTTTCTCCTTTAGCTACTAAACCCTCCCTACTCAAGAAACTCTTTAATTGATGCAAGGTATTGCACACATACAAATATGAAAAGTTAGAAAAAGACATAGGTATTTATTCAGCATCATACATACATGGGGCATCATTAGCCTAGAGGAGGATTAGGCTGAATTCCTTCAAGAGGAGAAATTTATTTATTGATAATAAATAAAACTGTATTATTAAGGTATTAACCAAGAATGGATTCTAGCCGTATTTCAGCAATTCCAATATAACTAGACTTTCTTTACCAAATTTTTACACATCTGAATTTTAAGGTTTCCTAGGAACAAGAATGTTGATCACAGTATTTGGCAAAAATGATAATAAAAATAAGAAACAAAAAACCCTCAGATTCTTCTTTCTTTATGCCTGAATGTACTAAGACTAAATTAGAGGGTCCAGGGTTACAAATTGAGAGGCTCAACATGAGTTTTGCTGAGAATGCCTCCGTGGGGTAAGTGCATGCTTGTGACTCTCTGAAATAGATGCCTTCTCATCTCAAGGTTCCCCATTCAATCGCTGAAAGCAAAACAGAGCACTGCCTTGGGCTCCCTTCCTTCTTAGCACAGTCAGCAACTCTGGCTCATTTTTCTTTGCACTTAAGAGTATGCATGATGTAAATACTGATGTTAAAACATTTTAAATAGAAAAAGGATTGTAAGACGTAGTTGCCACTAATTTTCTTATGAAAGTTAGACAATTGCATTTCAGGGATCATGTGCTCCTGTAAGTTGAGCAGCATGATATCCCCAAGGATTAACCATTTATCCCTTGAATAGGAGCAACGATCGTTAACAACACTATAGCCATAGCTTATGCTTTTTTAAAACAAAAAAATATTGCATTTTTGATACCAGGGGTTTGAAACAGACACCTTAAAGCATCGTAATATAAACCATATGTGACCACTAAAACTTGAGTGTAGAAGTGATTTATTTTACCTTGAAACCTGATTGGGTCTATCCTCCCTGAGGAGCACACACATAACTCTCATTAGAGTTAATAGGAAAGTAGACTTCATCTCATTCTGAATGGGAGTGAGAGTAATTACTATATTTTATATCTCCTATAGGCAATAAATAGATTCAGTTGGAAAACAACAGGACTAACCAAGGTAAAGGGAATTCCTAATACTGAACTTCAGACTCATTTAATTCCAGAACAGTACCTTTGTAATTAACATAAGTATAATTCAAAGTATTGGCCTTTACAAAGGATGTGTAATATATTGTTACATTTCAGACTCTGACCACAGTGGCTTTTATTTTTTTAAAAGAAGTAAAAATATCACCATTTCTCTGTAGTTAACTGTAGAATAATTATGAGCTCTGAAATAATTACTATCCACCCATATTAATGATGCTTTTTAATCATTCCTTTGATGAAGGGCTAATATACTTTAGGTCTCAAATACATTAGAACTGATTACAAATTCCCTCATTATGGGTTCAATTCAGCAGAAATTATCCATACTCTGTGTCACACATATCTGCAAAAGGCAAGTAGGTTGAGGGTATTATTAGCTTCTCACTAAGAAAGCTGGCCATGAGAAACGTGCTCCCATCAAGGGAACAAGCTTCTGATATTTTTAGGAGTTTTTGGCTCCCCAGGCTGGAGCAGGTACCATCATGAGGCTGAAAGCCCAGGCTATGACCTTGTCTGCCTTTACCCGACCCTCTTGACCCAATGGACTTTGAAATAACTCACAAGAGAATTCCTTTTTCCACAAAATGAGAATTTTAAAGATACTGCTGTTGCTGTGGGGAAAATTGGAAGCAGGTTATATATTTAGGGGTGTATTTGCTTGGGACAGAGTTTAATTTACAAAACTTGTATCAAGGATGTGAAGAATTTATGTGTGCTCCCCATGCAGAACAATGGCAGGATTCCATATATTTAAAATGACAGCAGGAACATAATATTTGCTTTTTTCCAAAATTGACAAATATTAAATACCATGACTTCAATAAATTAGATAGCTCTACAATTGGTATCATGTAAACATCGCACTTTATGCATTGAAATTTAGTTGATTTTACATAATTAGAACAAATATACACATCGTAATGAAATGGAATGGATAAAAGTGATTCATTTTTGCATAATGTTAATTTGTTGTTTGGATATTTATTTAACAAAAGTTATTATATTTCTTTACCAATGGATTATATGACCAAATATAAAGAAATCATAAAGATAAGTTTCTTCCTGAATTTTTTTACTTTAAAAAAGATAAAATTTCTGATCAAAGTTATAAATGTACATTAGTTAAAATATGATGTGAACCACTGTGTAGAGTTATGAGGAATAGACTTTGGAATCATTGATAGTTTTCAAAATAATCCATTTTTGTGCAAAATTTTGATGGTGATCCTCTGCCATTGTGAATGAGATGTGGGTTTTATTTTGGTGAGCTGCCAGTGTAGGGTAAAGGTTCTTATTCACACATGCATTGGATTCTCTCCCTGACATAGTCTGT